TTGAGATGCCGCCAAAAAATTTTATGTTGTCAAATGTTTTGCCTACTTCCTATCATTAATGAAGACGCCCCCCTCAGAGAAGTAGCTAGCTGTTGTTATTTTAGCTGTTGTGTTTGCTTAACGTTTCTCATTTGATTTGCTTATTTAATTTTTATTGCCAAGACGGCAGTCGTTTCCTTTCCACACAATTTGGCCAATTTTTGCCATTCTTTGCGTTCCCTTTTCACTGGCTTTGTCTTTTTTTTTTGTATGAGTGTGTGTGTATTTGCGCCTCAAGCTAATGACAATAATTAAATTGACAGACAGCTTGTAGTTGTGTGTGTGTGCTGGGCCAAGTGCGTAAGTAAACAGCGGAGACCGACGATGCCGCATGTTAATTAGCCTTGGTCTTGGAGTTTCTTGCCAGGCAGCTGCGCGTTACCGGGCGTGTGAACATTTTTGTTGCTACATTTCCGTTGCACACCTGCGCGAGCAGCAATGCAAAAATTAAATAATAAATAAATGGTTAAGTAAACACCAAAACGACTGCGCAAATAATTTTAATTAAATGCCAATTGCGCATACGCCATGTATGCACCGGCAATGGACCATTGGACGATGAAGTGCCGCAGATAAAACACCGCAAGTGCCAGCTGACAGCTGTTGCCGTCGTCGTCGTTGTTGTTGGCGTTGCCGTCGTCGCTGTCGTATGAAGTGTTGCAACAACAATAACGACAGATAAAATAACAACTACAACAGCAAAAGCAAAAGCAATAACTACAACAATTGGCCCGCAAGTTTATTGACGCTTAATTTGATTTGCTCGTTGGCAATACTCACAATTGGCTGTTTGAAAGGTCGAAAAGTCAACACGCCGCGCGAACGTAACCGCTTGTTTCATATTATGTCTGAATGACACCGTTTAACGGCGTCCCACAACAACGGCAACAACAACCATAAGGTGCCATACATTTTGAAACAAACGACGCGCCATAAACAAATTAAACTTAACAATTTATAATGCGATTGACGCCCACAAACATTTCTGTAGAATTTGTAGTTTTTTTTTGTTTTTTTTTTTTTTGTTTTTTGTTTTTGTTTTGAGGGCGCTGGCGAGCAACTTGAATGAAGGCAACAACTGCAACATCAACAACCATTGCCAGGGCAACAGCAACAAGTCAACAAATGATTTTATTTTGCTTTTATTTATATACTATATATATGTAAGGTTGTTGTTGGTGTTTCTGTTGTTGTGCTCCCTGCGCCTAACAACAACAATTTTCGGCTGCGCCTGCTGTGCTCTGGCTGACTGCGTTGGCGTTTTGGCTTTTAAAACAAAGCATTTACAATTTTAAAAATTTTTTTTAAAGCCATCCGACGCTTAGTTTCCGCTTCACAAGCAGACACATACACACACACACTCATACACATGCACAAACTTACACCAACTTTGACCCAAAATATGCTGCAATAGGTCGCGCCAGAAGTGAAAGGGTTTATGGCTGTTGCTGTTTCTTTTATTGTTGTTGTTGTAACTGTGGTTGTCGTCGTGATGTCGGTGACAGCGGCTTAACTTATGGCATTTTTATACCATTTTCATTTTTCATTAATTTGCGTGCACTTGGCACGACGCGCTGGACGTGCGCTCACATTAGTTACGCCTTTTGCGGCGCTCCCAAAAACAGCAAATTGCATGCAAGCAATAATAACAGAAACTACAACAGTATTAACTAATAGAGCTACAGAAACAATGGCAACAATAGCAGCAGTCTCAGATTTATGCGCTAAGGTTTAAAGGCCGCTCTATAGCCAGATATTTTTCAGTCGATTTTGATGTGGAAAAATGAACTTCAATTTCAATAACAAATTGTTTTCAGGTCCTTTATTTTCACATCAGTAGCAACCATTTATTAAGTAGTCAAGTTTATAATTAAATTAAGAAATGATTATGTTCAATAATTAACAAACACTTATCTCAAATCGAATAATAAGCATAAATATGTAATAAAAAACAATCGCCCCTCTTTCAGAAAGAAATGAATCAAAAGAGATGGAAGTGACATTCTTTTAGAAGTATCTTCAATTACTTGTATTTTTAAAGCATCACATAATTAATGTCGTCAATTGTTGGCCTGTTATTATGCTTAATAATAATTCTTCATTTCAAACCATTCGAGTGTATCACAGAAAACGCTTTATTAAGCTATTTTTCCAGATCACAGGAATAGCTTTGAAATTTCAATTATTCGAGTATTTGTTCGGTAAATTGATTTGTGATGGATTTTGTGAATATATATTTGAACAGTTATTACCGTGATCATTGTTTCAACATGGGCTACCAAATGTTAGTACTCGTAAAGTGGAAATTGAAAAAAAAACTCGTTTTTCTAAGAAGAGATATAAAATCCCAAAAAATAGCTAAGTAAGTCAGTAACAAACATTTAGCTTTTAGTTTGCTTGATTCGATCACCTTTCTTTACTTAATAGGTATTGAGTTGCAATTTACAATTACTTGCAATATACGCGTATATCCTATCCATCTATGTATAATTCATTTCTCAATATTTTTCCACCACTCTTTGACCGAACAGCAAAAAAAGCTTAATTCATGACATTTGCTGGACAGTTTTATTGGTGAATAATTGCTCATCATTAAACAATTTGTACGGCATGGCATCCAATGATTGATCTATGTGCAGCAAATGAAACAAAACAGCTGGCAAACAAAAGGCAAAGGCAAGGCAAGTCAGCAGGAAAAAAAGTGGCTTAGTCAGGGATACAGAGGAAGCGGCAGAAGCAGCACTTTATATAAATATGGCCAACGCACGGCAGGCAGCACATAAATTATATGAGTCCAAGGCAGGGGGCTGTGGATTATGGCAATGATTTTTTGTTGCTGTTGCCAGCGTTGCAACCACTAAAATAATCCATTAAAGATAAACTAAAAGCAAACACTAAACTTTTGTGCTAACCAAAGAAACCACAGGCGCGCACACCCACGCGTCTGGAATATAGACAGGCAGCCATACCGACAGACAGACATACATACATACATACGCGTGGAAACACACATGAACATGCGCTGATAATCAATCATTTATCAATGAGCGCGGTGGGAGCACACACCCAAAAACTGCACTTCCCACAGGCACACACAAACACACAAAACATTGATGCAGTGGTTGTTGTTGCTGTTATTGTTGTTGTTGTTGTTGTTGTAGTTGGAGTAGCTGAAGCTTTTAGTTTGCGTTTAACGCCTCATAGATTTCCTAAAGCGTGAAAATGCGTCAGCGATGCCTGCAAAGTCAAAGGCGCGACCCACATGGGAGTCGATGACGATGACGATGCCGATGTCGTCGATGTCAGCGCGCTTATGATAAAGTGAGATAGGCTGTGAGTGTGGGTATGAGGGTATATATATGTGTGTGTGTGTGTGCATTTGTGCACGCACTATGCGCTCTGGCAGGCCGCAATACCTCCTCCACCTCCCCGCCACAAACTAAACGCAATGCAGAAGTGAATGAATGCCTCGACAACATGCGAACAGAAGCGAGTGGCAGCTGATAACGCTGAGAATATTCGGCAGTGCTTCAGATTGTAAGCCTACACTTGGAGAAAAGTCTGATAAAAAGCCTAAAAGTATGCAGACAAACTGTTTACTCGTATTATAGGTAGATAATATCATAAATTGGCAGGTCTCAGCGCAGATTATAAGGATTTGGATGAAAAAGTGTAAGGAATATAACTTACAATGACTTGTCATATAAAGCTATAAAACGTATATAGTGTAGTAAAAGGCATTTAGCTTATTAACCGAAACTTAGCTATAAAAACGACTCGAGTGTGAAGAACGGATCGAGCTCAGTATTAGAATAATTTTGAAGAGACTGGTCTTTAATACATCCATTCTTGGAAAAGACAATAATCTTCTTTATTTTCTGTACAACTCATCATTACTGATTATTCTTGATCTTGCTGTGAAGATAAAAAGTTCTTCTAAATATTTTGATTACTATTCCAACTGCTTGAGTTTTAACTATACATAAAATATATGGATTATTTACAATTATTTCATACCACTTCTCCTAAACCGATTATCTAAAATTAAAAGACGCTCAAATTGGCTCTAATCATAAATGGTTTCATTGAGTTAAGTTTTTCTCTCACTGTGCTGGTGCTGGAGTGCGTGTGCGGTTTGCTATTCACACAAACGCCATGGGCTTAATTAATTTTCTAGCATTTTGAATTTGATTTGAATCTGGTCGTCGCCGTTCATAGACATTTGCTTGCGATTTGAAATGCAGCAGTAAATGCCGCGGGTTTCTTGATTTGCCATTAGTAGTGTGGCCAAACATTTCATCTAACATCTAGCCCTGACTCTGGGGGTTGAGCAGAGGGTTATATATTTATATATGTGTATATATGAGAGTGTGTGCGTGTGTGTGGGTATATCTATGCTAATGCGGGTGTGTACACAATTGAAATTTATGCAATCTCCTAAATTATTTAAAACATTTTGCTGACTCTCACATTTGATTTTGATGTTCTCTGTACTTGTAGATGTTCGAGCCAAATGCGATGAACAGTGCCGGCTGAGACACGCCGCTGAGTCCCCGCGCGATGAAGTAACAAGAAAAGAACAACTGCGGAAAACTCTTCGTTTAAGCAGGACATTTGAAATGCGCTAAAATACAGTTTAAATGCGCGACGAGGGACAACGATCATGACCATGATGTTGACGATGATGACGACAGCGTCGAGAACCAGGACTAAGACTAAGCGGATGATGGCGATGCTGACGACGTGTGGCGCGTGTGTGATATGAAAATGCAAAAATGCGTTATAAATTTTTATGAGTGTACGCGAGCGCATTAAATTTTAACGACTTACAGTGTACTCGTATGCATGTGTGTTAAGAACGCCAAGCAATTTAAAACAATACACGCCGAACTTTAAAAGCACAAATCTGAAGGCGCTTCAAGCGCAACTCACATTACACATAACTATTAAAAAAAAAAAAAAAAAAAAAAAAAACACAAAAAACGAAGAACAAGGAGCAAAAACAACAACAAGGCGAACAGCAGCTACAGCGGAAATTGCATGTTTAGCAACAGCAACAACGGCAACAGTAGCAGTAACAACAAAAGCAACAGCAACAACAACAATAATACGAACAGGAGCAGGAGCAGGAAACAGGCCAAGTCTTCAACAGTAGCAGACTGTGCAAACGCACTTAGCACGTGACACGGACGCGCGAGAACATCGTGTAAGCTCTTTGCACACTAATAGACGCCATTTTGTAACGGTAATTGGCGCCGCACACGTGAGCCGCCAACACTCAGATAGAAGAGCGACCCCCCAAAGCCGGCCAGGTCCACTTAAAGTACCATTTTTGTAACCGACATTCCTCCAACATGGCCGTCAGCAACATTGTCTGTGAGTGGCTGCGAGCATTGGGTCTTGCCCAATATGCCGAAAGTTTCCTCGACAATGGCTACGACGATTTGGAAATTTGCAAACAAGTTGGTGACCCCGACCTCGATGCGATTGGTGTGGAGAATCCCGCACATCGACACAAGCTGCTAAAGAGTGTGCGCTCTTTGCGTGAGAAGGGCGCCGCTTCGGTGTATTTCATGCTCAACGATCCGAATTCGTTATCGGGCAGCATGGAGATTTTATGCGAGACCCCACCAAGCAATGAACTGGAGTTGGTGCTGCGCGAACAGCTGGAGACGGATGGCGTGCGTTTGACAGCGCATCCATATTCGACACCGGTAAGTGAGAATGCAATTATATGGTATAATAGTCTTACACAAATATGGAGCGTAGTCGTGTGCAGAGGGTTTGTTATAAAAAGAAACTTCTAATGAGCACCGCCCGTTGATCCAGTAATTTGTGTAACGCACAGTAGTAGCAGCAGTAAGTAAGTCTAGACTTGATAAAGTTAGTTGGATAGCCCCTGACTGTGGCTACTATGTGTGGGGACAATAAAACTGCTGCTACACAATAAAACTTTGATTGAACAAGGCATTCACCCAAAGGAAACAATACGTTTTTAGTCAACACAAATGATGACCACCTTCCTACAGGAAGATGGAGGCATAAAGTATATTGTATATTCTTAATCAGCATGACGAATCGATCTAGACATGACCGTCCGCCTGGATGAACGCCTGATTTGATGTAGCGTTCTATCTTGTTTCAATTTCATTTTATAAGGAATAGACGCATTTTAAATGAAATGTAAGTGTTTTATCCGACTCCAGAGATATAGTAGAATTTTTCCAACCCGGTGATTCCTGCAAAGCAATTATTCCCATAGTCTGTTTAGTGTAGGGCTTAAAAAGGTTTGCCCCACTGTAGGGTTCTATCTTGTTTTTATTTCGAACTATAAGGAATAGACGCATTTTAAATGAAAAATTAAATATTTTATCTGCAATCGAGTCCAGAGACATAGTGGAATTTCTCCAACCCGGTGATTCCTGCAAAGCAATTATTCCCATACTCCTTTCAGTGCAGAGTTGAAAATGTCGTTTGTTACAAGAATCCAATTGCACATAAGCCAAAAATAATACTGTTTAAATGCATCGCCCACTCACTTCAATCCCAACCAACCAGTCAGGTACTACAACAAAAGAATGGGAGATCATGAGAGGACACAGGCACAGGCACCGGTTCGAATGGGAACTATTCAATGTCAGTTTACATACTTAAATTAAAATTCTCGACATGTAGCAGAGCACACGCACACAATCACACACTACAAGTATGCAGCCACATTCGCTCAGAGGTGTAGGGGTGTAGAGGTGTGGCGGTGTGGAGGATGTGAGAGATAGGGAAAGGTAACGGATAAAAATTCTGGTAGGGCAGGGCAGGGCATGGCATGGCACGGCAACAGAGAACCAAAGAGTTCCAAATGTCAACCCGACCATACTTGACAGTAAAATGGAGTACATTTTAAAGCGACGACGGCGGCGGCAACTTCACTTTTGTATGCAGAAGCTTTAGCCTTTGGTGCCGTCGCCTCGAGTGCCATGTTGGTGCCATAGCCATTGTTTTACAGTCACACAAGACAAGGAGACCGAGCGACATATCATGTGCCATTATGTATGTGTAGCAATGGGTCTGCTTGCCTCTTCGTTTGTTTTCGTCCGCTGTCGCAACAATTGCTAAAAATCCGTTCGAGCTGCTCTTAAAAAATGCCTTTGCCTCTTGTTCACAGCGGCTGCGCGTAGTCTGTAATTAAAATAATGCCAAAAAGCAGACAAGTTGCCGAAAAATGGTCACAGTTGATGTTGCCACTGAGGATGAATCAGACAGGAGCTGCCACAGCAACAGTATCAGCAGCGATGGCGGCAACGTTAAGTTGCAGCTTCGATTTAAGCCGCCTTGATTTATTATGCAAAAACATTTCGCAACACAAATTATAACTGGCCATCAGAGTACCAAGACTGACAGCGACGACCTACACAGTTAAGCGTACACTTGAAAAAATGTTTATTAACAATTTTTACTTTGCATTCAAAAAGAGTTTTTAAAAAGAAATTTACATGGGTCATCGTTATTTACCCCAAAAGTAGATATAATCTTTGGAATCGCTCAACATAAATTATTGAAAATAATGGTGGTTTCAAAATAACTTAAGCGGATCTTATTATTGCTGTTTTACAATCGTCATATAGTTGTACTTTTTTTCATGTAGTTATTTATTTAGGTTCTGTCCTGGATTGGAAATTATTAAATTTTATGGGAACTGGTAACTTCGATGATAACTTTTTTTTTAATAATTCCTTTTTACTCCACTTGGGAGCTTAGGGCTTCTACAAGAACTTTCCATCCATTTCGAGCCGTCTGTCTAGCTGTGTCCCATGTGATGTTGTTCTACGATAATTCCTGAAGGGTCCGCCGTCAGGTTGTCGTCTTAGGTCTGCCGACCTGTCTGCTTCCTTAGGGGTTTCTCCAGTCTAGCGCCATCGTTACGTTGTCATCGAAGTGGAGCCGAAAGGATTAAAGGTTGATATTTTCGCGATTTTTTCGAGAGTTGTGCCAATTTTGTTGAGTGTAAGCGGAGATAGAGCAAGGACAGCAGTTCCTGAGCTAAAGAATTTGCACGTCAATCTGCAAAATGTGATTTATATATGAGTGGCAGAGGCAACATCAGCATCAGCATCAACATCAGCATCGGCTTCAGCTTTGCATCAGAGTTCTCAACGTCGTTGGCGGCGCATTCGCGAACGTTGCGCACAAATCACGTCATTGAGTTGTTTTCATCAAAAGGGCAAGCATGTAGCCCGTAGCCTTCTATAGTAGTGTGTAGTAGTAGCGTAGTGAGTAGAGTAAAGTAGTTGAGAGGTCCAGGAGCAGCGGCCTGGCGAGGCGAGGCGACGCGACGCAACGCAACACGACGCGTTGGTGCTGATGCTGATGAGTCTTCCTTCAACTTCGGTCGCAGTCGCAATATCAGAATTTTGCCTGTCCCTGCCCCATTCATTCATTGATGGCTGTGCCCAGGCCAGGTCTTGGAAGTTGATGATGCGCGTGGCTGGGGGATTGGTCGTTCTTGCTTCCATCCGCACTGCTGCCCGCTGTTGGCATCAGTGACTGGCTCCTTTGGTTTTTGTGTGTATTTTTATCCGAAAACTATCTGAAACGACGACTTCTTGCAGTTTTGTATCTTGCGTACTGTAAGCGCGTATCGCAGCATTGTGGCATACAATTTTTATTTATTACTCATTCAGCTGCAAAATTGTTCCTTAATTGCCCATATCAGCTGAGAAATGAAATTTATTACCTGGCGTGTGTATATCGCAATGCGCACACGACGTAGACGGCCAAGTTGGTGGAGTCGAGTCAGCCGAGCTGGGCCAACTCGGAGACGGAGCTGGGAATGAATGTTGAGTTGAGCAGGGACGCCTAAACTTTAGCAGCCGCATCATTATCAGCGCAGTCGGCAGCAGTCGGAGAAGCAGCAGCAGCAGCATCGTCGACATCATTAGTTTTGTGCGCCGTGCCGACAACGTTTTGTATATTTACTTAATATTGCAATGGACTGTGGACTTCATGGCATGGTCGGTCGGTTGGTTTGTTGGTTGGTCGGTTGGTTGGTCTGTCGTTTGGTCAGCCTGCTTGCCATTTATCTCGGTGTGTGCGCCATACGCGGACAGCTCGACAGTTGTGGATGCTGTTGTTGTTGTCATGGTTGTTGTTGTTGTTGTTGTTGGAGCAACCTTCTGTGATTTCTGATTTCTTATGCCAATTTACTCTCCTCGTTCGCTGCTCTACTTCCACACACACCAGCATATCCTCATATTGAGTTCAGCCGCGGCTCATCTGCACAATCATCGTCATCATCCTCATCAGCTTTGGATTGCCTGGCAAGCTAAGGTTATTGTTGTTCTTGTTCTTGCTGTTTATGCCGTTGCCATAGATCAAAAGACAGTTTGCTTTAGTTTTCTTCTTCTTGCTGTTCTTCTTGCCTTTCCACACCAACAACAACAACATCAACATCATCAGCATCGCCAACGCCATCACCAACAACAGTCTGTGGCTTTTGTGTCGTTGTTGTATAATTTTATTTTATGTGCTTGTAGCCTTGACCAGGTCAAGTTGTTTTGGGGTCGCTCCAATGCGCTCTGTTGCGCTTCCTCGCCCGGACTTCAGTCCATTCGTTCATTCGTTTGGTCGCCTCGGCTTCTATGCCTGGCTGGCTGACTTTAAGTTATTTCTGCTTTTGACTTGAGCGCGCCTGGGTTTATTGATTTGTCCTCTTTGATCTTCTGCTTGAGCTGTGGCATGATTTCATTTTTATGAACTTGACTTTTGCGCATTTTGATTTTGATTTCATCGTCGATGTTGATGTCGGTGTCGGTGTTTGTGTCGGTGTCTGTGTCTGGGCTTTTTCTGAGTTGCAATTTTGCGTAGCATGGCAAGTAATTGCCGCTATTCAATTTGTACACTTAGTCTACGTGTAATGTTGCTTTATTGTTGTTATTATATTATTTCTGAGCCGTCGTAAACATAATTTATGGAAAAATGTGCAAGATAAGTTTTTGAACAACCAGCATTTATTAATATAGAAATAGACAAATAAACACAATAGAGATGAAGAAAAAACTGGATATTAAAACTGCATTGAATCCCAAGAACTTGTAGCTCCAATGAAGTCAAGACGGTTTTAAAATATAAACCGACTTACCTGGTATAAAATAGATATACTCCTACATTTCTTATATCGCTTTTGAGAGCTTCACTGATATCCGCCCCGAGCTGAGTAGTGTCGCCTGACATTTTAGGCAATTGCCACGAGTTGACAGAACTTGAAGCGCTTCTCAATTTTTTATTTAAATTTGAAATCAATTGAGTCTTTAAAAACATTGCCACAGTCATTGTACATTATTTTTTTCTTCCTAATTACAATTCATATCTCGCGCACATTGCACTAATTAAAATATAAGCATTGTGCGCCCCCATGGCATGACATCAAAGCAGCCAATTTTCCGAATTTCCCTTCCTCTTTAGCTTTGCGATCCAGCAGGAAATTTGCATAGCCTTTTCAATGCTATAAAACTTAATCAAGCATTTAACACCAAAAAGTAAAACTGCGAAACCATTCATTGCTCATAAAAAATACAGTCTAATTGTGGACGCAACAGAAAGAGCAAAGCAAAAACAAAAAATAAAGAAGAATGAGGCCAATGGCAAGGAGTATCCAATGGTGGGCATCAGCCAAGAGCCACACATTTTGCGTTTTTGTTTTTTTTCCTCCCTTCAGTAT